TTCTCAGAGACCTTGTCAAAAACAGCTGCCACCCACTTTAGAGGCACATATGAAGCATCCCCATCCATCAGCTCAATGGGAGCACCAGATATCATCAGATCTGCAGCAATCTGGGGAAGGGAGAGATAAAGGGTATTTTTAGTGGGGGAAGCTTCTTCCAGAGCTTCATAGATCTGGCCAACTTCTCTGAGAAGTTGCTCAATTCCCAATGTACAGTCACTAATCTTTTTGGAGATAGCTTCTATATCTTTTTGCCAGAGTTGGAGGTCAGTGCCCTTTGGTGCCTTTTGCTTTTCTGTTTGTATCTGTGACCACAACTTGTTTTTCTCTTCATTCAGTTTTTCCAAGTGTCCTGCAGTCAAGTTTTCCAAAAATACACTCAGCCATTGCAAAAAGTAGTGTGTGGTTTGAGTTTCTGAATGCATTTGGAGAATTTCAAGGACAGACTGCATTAACTCATTGAGAGGAAAGGCTCTGGTCAACTGTTCACTCCGTATTCTTCGTTTTTCTGCCTCAATCTCACTCTTATGTTGTTCGATGCTTCGATTCCCTTTTTCTCTTAGATGATAGAGTTCTCTGTCCTTTTTACACCAAAGATGCCACAGGTTTCCCTGAAGGGGCAGTAAGTTTTCCTTCACCTGAGATATATTCACTTCTTTAAGTAGAGCTATTAGGACCTCTGCCTTTTCTTTGGCTTCCTTGCATTCTCTCTGGTCTTTATCAATAAAGAATCCTTGCTTGCGAGCCATTGGGGTGAGGTCTTCTATGCTGAGAGCTGTGCCCGAGAACACCATCAAACGTCTGATTGTAGTAACAAGCTCCTCTGTTAATTCTGCTTCATTTCTGTTCCGGATCCCAATGATCACTTTTTGATTAGAATTATTAGCCATGGTTTGTTCTTTGTTATCAAGTAAACAAATCAAAGGTCTTGGTGACTGACTCAGATCATGAATAATTTTTCGGTTTTCTTTATTGTCATCAGAAGTTGACATGAGGACGACAATGAGAGAAGAGACCTCCTGCAGGAAGATGAGTTGCTTCTTATGTTCCTTTGCATCTCCATGGAGATTGGTGAAGGTCACACAGTTGTCAAATCTGTCCTCGTCATCCCCTCCAGGACAGAACCAGCAGATTTCCACCACTCCCCCCATCAAGAGACAGTCTTTGGTGCTCCCTCTACAATGTCGGTGGAAAAAGACATCATGTTTTCGTTTACTGAGAAGACAGTTCATGATCTGAGATTTGGAAGCTGAGAAGCCATTTCCAACTCTTATAAAGGACACAATGGGGGTAGAGACATGACACATCTGCTTATTCTTGTGATTGATCTTCTCCTCTCTTGGTGATTTCCTTGCTTCCTGCCAGCTCCTTCTAATTTGAGTGAGAGACCAGAGAGAGAATTCAATTTGAGAACTGCAGGGATTAGGTATGAGAAGAGGGAGTGCAAACTGGCAAATGGAAAGTTTGGACAAAATATATTGTCTCGCAAAATTATCTGCACAGTGAAGAATTGCCATCTGGATATCCATAGGATGAATATGGGGCCTAGGATTAGAGGTTGAACGATTAGTGGGAGTATCCCTATCTTGAAACAAGTTTTCATATGGATCAAAAGTCTCATTTTCCTGATTAGAAGCACTTTGATAGACATGAGTCTGTGTGTTTTCACCATCTCTGAAGACCAGATATCTCAATCCATAATCCAACATCAATAGCTTCTGCAAGAAATAGGAAGGAAGCTCCCTTTCAGAGCTGGGCTGGGTGTTGTACACACAAGTCTTGTTGATCAGATGAAAGTTAGCTCTGCTCATCCTTTTTGGGTAGTAATGTTTTAGGCCTAGACGCTGGAGTAATCTCAGGAAGGCTGTATCTTCTACAACTTCCCCTTTACTATTTCTAATATCATGTGGTTCATGGGATTGCTTTTCTTTATGGAAATTACTTTGCAAGTTTTTTCTTACCTTGTCTATTTGCAATGAGGAGATGGTGCCTTCATAATTACCATCAATGAGCTTTCTCAAATCTTTCTCTAAGTTTTCCCAATCATGATCTGCCCCATGTTTGGAGAGGACATGTGCAACTTCCTTTGATAAATATTGGCCCAGGTGATGTCTTATTAATGCCAAGCGTTGTATTTTCTCCTCCGGAGAAACATCTGTGAGTCCAATGGTAGCTGTAAGACCTGTGAGCACCAGGAGTGCCTGAGCTCTGTAGGTGCAAATATTTTTGAGCTCCTGGTATTTATCTTGGGCAGTTTGCATTTCATCCAGTAAGAAGCCTAACTCATGAAACCCAAGCGGATATTGAAACTTATTGTTTACCACATGATATCCTGCACCAGCTGCAATGGAAAGTAGCAAGAGCTGTGTGTCTGGCTGCTCTGTTTCTCGGAGGTAATTCAAGAAGCAGCCAAGAGAGGTGCTGACCTCATAAGTGGCCTTTTTTTTAGCTTCTTCCACTGTTTCTGCAGTCTCAGATTTCATCTTCACTTCCATGAGGTCATTCTGGGTTTTCTCTAAGATTTTAATTAGTTCAGAAAATTGGGTGATGTTGATAGGCTCCTGCTCTGACTCTGACTGGGAGATCCACTGCATGATGGAATGAGCCTGAGGAAAGTTATTCACTCTGTAGATGTGAGGATCCAAAAGGCTGCGCAACTGAGATTTAATAAACTTAGTTTCATAGATGGAAGAATTTTTGCAAAAGTTAACAGTGTTTATCAGAAAATACTGCAGACCCCAGTCTGTGAGGCATATGTTAACCCAAGCATCATAACTTTTTATTTTTTGACTCAACATTTGCATGAAATTTATCAGTTTTTTAAGCTGCTCTTCAGGGTCAGATACCTTCCAGGATTTCACATCCTCTAGGGAAAGCCCAGCCTCCTTCCCAACACTCAGTAATTCTTCTCCATCCTGGATCTGGGCAGTGATGCATGTCAGAGCAGAGTAGCTATCCTTCAGTAAGCTAGCTACCTGACATGGATCCTTAAAATCACTTCTGTGGTTGGAGAGGATGATGTCCCAAATGGGCACCAGCTGAAGTCCCCGGTCAATGACACTCCAGGTTTGATTACTCGCAACTAGGCCAGCTTTCCATTGGAGAAAGCCACTTGCTTCTGGTGGGCCGCCTGAATGGGCCACAGATAATTGGACTTTGGTCTGGAGATTTTGGAAGGTTGTGCTTGGGTCAGCTGTTTCTGTACAAGAATCTGACACATTCATACCTGCAGCAATTTTCACTCCAAGGCCACTATAGCTTTCACTTATTAACCTGTTCAGGGCCTCTGCCACCTGCTCCTTTACTCGTTCCAGCTGCTCACTCTGGAAACCCTCTGAAGTGGCTTTCCACCAGTAGATTCCTCCCAGGTGCAGAGGGCCCTGGTTAGCATGAGACCCAAACCTGTGGAAGAAAGCTTCAGTCTTGCGCCTCAGCATGGGGAGTCGGTCTGGGCCTGCAGGCTGATGTAGAAGGTCATCAATGCATTTCAGTTCCTGGAGAGCAGCCTTGGAGAACTGGAGCTGATCCATGGGAAAGTGGCAGGAGGCAAGTGGGACATAGCTGAACTTGGTAGAGCAGAAATAGGAGTGCTCAGGATGTGATTGTGGGATTTCCTTGGATTCTGAATGTTTGCTGTGGTCCACATCAGCTTCCAAGAAAAGTCTCCAACCTCCGCCCTTGGATGATGCAGTTACACTGAACCCCAGCTTCTCTATCATCTGGGTGAACATGGATTCTGCTTGAGAAGATGTGAATTCCCAGGTTCCCATTCGCGTGCTGTGCTCAGGGCCAAAGAATAAGAACTCCTTAGGGACACTGAGTAGCTCTTCTCTCTTCTCTAGAAGGCTCATGTGGGAGCTGGCTTTGTAAATTCCCTGCAGGGCCAGCCCTCCAGATGCCCATCTCACCAGATCTCTATCTGAGAGGTTTTGCCTGTGAGACAGTGTCCTCTCATTGAGGTTGAGTTTTCCCTCCATGTTTTCCATGACTTCTTGTAGGGATTTTTGGGGTGGTGGCCAATACTCGTTGGGGAGTTCCATTGCCCGCCTCAGCTCTGCCTTTCCCCCCGTCACTGTCTCTTGATGTAGTTGCCTTTCTTCTGATTTGAAATCTCTTTTCTCCTGCAGCATTTGCTTTCCCTTCTTCTTCTTCTTCTTTAAGATTTTCCCCTGAGACTCCTGTAACTCTGAAAGGCTAGTTGAGTGTGACAGGTTGAGTAGCTTCTGCAGGGCCCTTTTCTCCCAGGGATGTTGTGCTTGGGATTTCAGCTTCTGGAATTCTCTTTCTTCTATGTGTTGTAAGGCCTGGGCACAGCTGACACCCAGGTGTTCCTGCAGCTTTGGCAACCAGTACTCAATGTCCAGTCCTACTTCTCTCAGCATCTCTTGGAGATCTTGCCTTCTTTTCCCTTTGCAAAGGGGCTCATCAGAAGAGGACTTTGCTGTGTCCATGACTGTAGACAGAAAAGTCAGTTAGCCTTTGGAAGTGTCATCCACATTGCAAAAAAGTTGAGAGTACTAACGTGCAAGTCTTTCAGGCTTTGTCCTCCAATTCTTTCATTGATCCCACAAATGTATTATTGTTTAAAAAGGTTTTGTGTGTGTGTGTGTGTGTGTGTGTGTGTGTGTGTGTGTGTGTAGAAGATATCTTTGTGGGTGTTCTCAACACGGACTGCTATTTAGTTGCCAGGTGAGTTGCAACTTCATAGCCTGGCTTTTGGCACTTTCTATTACACAAAATCAATTGTAGGGAGAGCATTATGTGAGGGTTGCCATTTGAAAATGTACATTCTTTTGATAGCTTGATATTTATTTTAAAGACAAGAGGGATAACACCAGTTATTATTCCTCAAGTTGTTTCTATTAAACCTGTGTTGCAGGGTTTCCTACCTGTCCTGTCTCTGTCACTTCTTATGCCATTTCATGGTATTCATGTACTCTCCTGTCTTTTAAGATGTTGATATTATTACATATCTTCCCTATTTTACCACTTTGCCTCCATCTACCCAGCCCCTACCCACGCTAGGCCTTTAACACATTATGGTTGGGGGTACTGGATGACAAAGGTGAAGAGATTAGTGAAAGAACATATATGCACTAGAGGCCCGGTGAATGGGATTCATGAACTGGTGTGTGTGTGGCGGGGGGGGTGGCCAGTGAGGATTGGCCTGTTGTGGGAGTGCCGCTCATCTCGGTCAGCCGAGCAGCTCTCCCACTGTGGTAGCGCGCTGAATACCAGGGAGCAGCTTCTGCATTGATCATCTGCCCCCTGGTGGTCAGTGCACATCATAGCGACTGGTTGACCGGTCATTCTGGTCATTCCGCTGTTCAGTCACTGGGCTTTTATTATTTAGGATAGCCCATTAACACAGATAACAATGGAATGAAGGCCAGAGGGAGGAGGGGGAAGGGGATGGGTGGAGGTTCGCAAAATTTGGGGGAGGGTAGGATGGAGGACATTTGCAATAATGTCAACAATAAAAATAAAGTAAAAGAAAGCACAAATGCAGAAAATCACCAATTTACAAAGGTAGGTAGAAAGAGAAGGAAAAATATTAATGAAAAACTAGAAAGCAATGAATAAGATGGCAATACTCAGTTCTTACATATTAATAATTTCTCTAAATGTAAATAGACTGAATTCATTGATCAAAAGGCACAGAGTAACTAGATGATCTAAGAAAAGAAGACACAACTAGAGATTAGAAATGGCGGTGGAGCAAGTGTATGCTATACAAAAATGCTCCCAGTGAGCTGTTCTAAAGATTAAATGAGGGAGCATCGACTCAGCTGGTGAGACGGTTTGCAGCCGGGAAGGGCAGAGCTCCCCTGGAAAGGTAAAAAACCAGGGATCTGGGCAGGAAACTTTGCCAGACCTCTGAGCCCAGAGGCTCGGGGGCAGCATCATAGTAACTGATAGACCCGCCCCTTGCCGGGGCCTCAGCGCTGCAGGAACTTTGGCCTGGAAGTGCGCGAGCACCTTGGAACTGATCCTGTGCGCACTTTGGGCTTCAGAGCCCTGGGCTGGGAGAAAACTCGCCCGCAGCACCAGGAACTAATCCTACGCGCACTGCCTGCTTCGGGGAGCCCTGGGCCGGGAGCAATCGCGCGAACGGGAATTTGTCTGCCTAGCACAGGCCCAAGGATCCCTTTTCTCGGGGCAGGAGGCAGCACCAAGCACCAGTGACTTGACTGTGTTTCTTATCACCTGCGCCTGAGATCCTGATTCCCTGTGCATTCATACTAAGAGCCAGTGAATCCAATTCCTGGTGCAAGGGCACACAGGGACCCTGATTCTCAAGGCGAAGTCGCGCAAAGCAACAGAGACTCTGATACTGGACTCTTGGGGAACTCTGACTCCTGGCGCATGCTAGGGGGCTCTGGTTTTCAACACGCTCCAGGGGGGTCTCTATTTCAGCACGGTGCATGCAGGGTCCCTAATTCTAAGGGCACATACGAGGCCACATTGAGCGCTGGCAACACTGACTCAGAGCGAGCCTGGTTCCCACCAACCAACAACAACCACACATCTTAGTGTCAGAGCTCTTCAGTGACACTAAGGTGGTGGGAGGCTCCCACTGCACACGGCCCAGGCCCACGCAACCCGACCTTTGATCCATCGGGAGATAAGCAGAATGAAGAAACGACACAACACCCAGAGGAAAGACAATGAGGAATCACCAAGAAAGGAAATTAATGAAGTTGAAGCGTGCAACATGACAGAAAAAGAATTCAGAATAATGGTTGTACAATTCATTCACCGGATGGATGAGAAAATCAACAACCTATGCAAGAATCAGGAAGAAATGAAAAGTGATATAGCTACAATCAAAAACACCATGGAAAGTTTCAACAGCAGGCTGAAAGAAGCAGAGGACCGAATTAGTGAGTTAGAAGATAAGGCAGAGAAACAAGCTCAATCTGAACAGCAACTGGAGAAAAAAATTAAAAAACAGGAGGAGAGCCTAAGGGAGCTTCGGGACAACATGAAACGAAGTAACATACGCATAATAGGGCTGCAAGAGGGACAAGAAGAGCAGCAAGGATTAGAAAATCTATTTGAAGAAATAATGACAGAAAACTTCCCAGATATGGGGAAGAAAAAAGTTACACAAGTACAGAGAGTCCCAGGCAAGATGAACCCCAAAAGACCCACACCAAGACACGTCATAATAACGATGGCAAATGTACAAGACAAAGAGAGAATCTTAAAGGCTGCAAGAGAGAAACAGAGAGTTACCTACAAAGGATCCCCCATCAGATTATCAAACGATTTCTCAACAGAAACACATCAGGCCAGGAAAGAATGGACAGAAATTTACAAAGTGATGCAAAGCAAAGGACTGAATCCAAGAATACTCTATCCAGCAAGGCTATCATTCAAAATTGAAGGGGAAATAAGAAGCTTCACAGACAAAAAAAGGCTAAGGGAGTTCATCACCACCAAGCCAGCAATGCAAGAAATGCTAAAGGGACTGGTGTAAAAAGAAGAAATAAAAAGCCCAGAAAGAAAACAGCCACACAAAAAAAGAAATGGCTACAAACAAGTACCTTTCAATAATAACTTTAAACGTAAATGGACTAAATGGTCCAATCAAAAGACATCGAGTGGCTGAATGGATAAAAAAACATGACCCATACATTTGCTGTCTACAAGAGACCCACCTCATTAAAAGGGACTCACACAGACTGAAAGTGAAGGGATGGAAAAATATCTTTCAGGCAAATGGAAATGAAAAAAAAGCTGGGGTAGCAATACTTATATCCGACAAAATAGACCTCAAAGTGAAGGCCATAACAAGAGATAAGGAAGGCCACTTCATAATACTAAAGGGATCAATACAACAAGAGGATATAACCCTGATAAACATATATGCACCCAATGCAGGAGCACCCACATACATAAGAAAACTCCTGGAAGACATCAGGGGAGAGATCGACAACAATACAATCATAGTAGGGGACTTTAATACACCACTGACATCACTGGATAAATCTGCTAGACAAAAAATCAGCAAAGAAACAGCAATCCTAAATGACTCACTAGATCAGATGGACTTAATTGACATCTTCAGAACACTTCACCCCAAAGCAACAAAATATACGTTCTTCTCAAGTGCTCATGGGACATCTTCAAAAATAGACCACATATTGGGTCACAAACAAAGTCTCCCCAAATTCAAGAAGATTGAAATCATACCAAGCATCTTCTCAGACCACAAGGGCATAATATTAGAAATAAACTACAATAAAAACAACCCAAAATACTCAAACACTTGGAAGCTGAATAGCATGTTATTAAATATTGATTGGGTTACCAATGAGATCAAAGAAGAAATTAAAAACATCCTGGAAACTAATGACAATGAAAACACAACAATCCAAAACCTTTGGGACACAATGAAAGCAGTCCTGAGAGGGAAGTTTATAGCTCTACAGGCCTACCTCAACAAACAAGAAAAAATGGTAGTAAATCATCTAAATCTACAGCTCAAAGAATTAGAAAGAGAGCAACAAGAAAAGCCCAGAGTGAGCAGAAGGAAGGAGATAATAAAGATTAGAGCAGAAATAAATGACATAGAGACCAAAAAAACAATACAGAAAATCAATGAAACCAAGAGCTGGTTCTTTGAAAGGATAAACAAGATCGACAAACCTCTAGCCAGGCTCACCAAAAAGCAAAGAGAGAGGACCCAAATAAACCAAATCAGAAATGATAGAGGCGAAATAACAACAGACCCCACAGAAATACAAATGATTGTTAAAAAATACTATGAACAACTCTACTCCAACAAACTAGACAACCTGGAGGAAATGGACATATTTCTAGAAAAATACAACATTCCAAAACTTAATCAGGAAGAATCTAAAAATCTCAACAGGCCAATAACTATGGAAGAAATTGAAGCAGTCATCAGAAAGCTTCCAGCAAACAAAAGCCCAGGACCAGACGGCTTCACAGGGGAGTTTTACCAAACATTCAAGGAAGAACTAAAACCTATCCTCCTCAGACTACTACAAAAAATCCAAGAGGAAGGAACACTTCCAAGCTCATTCTATGAAGCCAGCATCACCCTAATACCAAAACCAGGTAAAGACAACACAATGAAAGAGAATTACAGGCCAATATCCCTCATGAACATAGATGCCAAAATCCTCAACAAAATCTTAGCAAATCGGATCCAGCAGTACATCAGAAAGATCATACACCATGACCAAGTAGGATTTATCCCAGGGATGCAAGGATGGTACAATATCCGCAAATCAATCAACGTGATACATCACATAAACAAATTGAAGGAAAAAAACCACATAGTCATATCAATTGATGCAGAAAAAGCATTTGACAAAATTCAACACCCATTTTTGATAAAAACTCTCAGCAAGGTGGGAATAGAAGGATCATACCTCAACATAATAAAAGCCATATATGACAAACCCACAGCCAACAT